TAACTGTCGACTAATTGACGTTTAACCTTATTCTGCTTTCAATTTCAAAATTATTTGCAGGCACAGCCTACTTCTAAAAATTATCGAGATACTGACTTTTTAACGTTATTTTATCATGAATAATTAAAAATGCATCGAACCTTAAAAATCGAAATATCTCAAAAACGAAAATTCACAAGAGAGCTTTTTTATGTTGAAAAGTGCGAAGAATCAGTTTTTTTATTCAAAAAGCAAAAAATTGCACTAAGAAAAAATTTTCGGTCATTTTAATACACTACAGGTACAGCAGACAGCGCCCTCTAGCGGCTACAGTAAAACTATGCCCATGGTTAGTTTTGTCGTACCAAAAAGACCCTTGTATACCAATTTTCACTGTTATACATCAAATATTGTTCGAAATATTTTAAAAAACTATTTTAGAAAGTAAATTTAAACACCCTGTATTTCGGAAGCCACGCATTTTTCGACCCATGTTTATATAGACTTTATGCATCAATTTTAAAAGTTCTATCGAATTTTAAAGTTATGCAACAATAAACTGAAACACTCTGTATACCAGTACTGCATAGAAGAATTTTATATGAAGGACTTGGGTCAATAAAGTTCCCTTTCGACATTGACTTTGTTTCGAGAAATCTAAAGTTACAATTTTTATGTAAATCTTAAAATCCTGTTTCTTGTTCAATTTCGATTGAAATGCTACAATTCGCTTACCTTTTAAAGAACAAAGATTTAATGACAACGATATCGAAAAAGTATAACTAATGTTCATGAAATAAATTTATTTTTGAAAATACTGTGGCTTGCTGCCTTATTGAAAAAAAGTTGTACCCCAAGGGTAACTCAAAGATGGTTTGTTTTATAAACATATAATTTGGATATTCATTGTTAGACTTGGAACATGACCCTTCGGTGAATTTAACGGACTCGTTACTTACGTTAAAGTTCTTTTGACAGTTCAGAATGGTAAACAAACAGAAAACCCACAGAATGTGCGTTACATATTTGGGACAGAATGCGTAAAAGTTCCGTTTTTTTTTATCAGAACTGCGTCAGATATGATTTCTATTTCGAAAAAAATAGGAATAGGTTGAAGACCGAAATAGATCACAAGCGATAAATTTATTTTGGCAAGAAAGGCATAAGACATGAGACAAGGTAATGATATATTCTGATAAATATATGGTTTGAAATCAGTATCTCTGCTGGTATTAAGACACCAGTACAAACAATAGCTTTCTTAGGTAATAAAATCATAAGCAGCATGTACAGGGTGGTCCAGTCATGTGTGGACGGAATATTACTCATAAACAAATACATTTTGGAAAAATCTATTTTTGGGATGTTATACATGACATTTGAGGGCACATTTATAAAATATTTTTTTGTTTAGAAAAACCTCCCAGTTCGGCAACCTCTCAGTCCACTATTTTGAAATTTGGAGTGCTGAATTTTGTATCAAAAAAAAACTTACACACCTTAGCTTTTATGTTATTTGTTACTTTTTCGAATTGTAATTTTTACTTATACAGGGTGGTCAAAAACGCAAATTTCTCAAAAATTTCAAATGCATCACCCTGTATAGTTGTGCACGTTTGGATTTAATGTTTATAAGCTTTTTTTGATACTAGACACATAAGGGTTTTTACGGCTATTTTTTCGATTAGCACATCTTTTATGGAACGGCTTAATTCCTTAAAGTATCGCATCATCCTTGGAAACAAATAAATGGTTGATTAGTTACAAATTGTCAAAATTATGTTTGAAAATGAATTTTTCTAAAGAAGAAATGGTGAATATAGCATCTCGCATCTACGCATTAACGTTTTGAATCAAGTGGAGCAGTGGAATATAGTAAAAAAATGTATAAATAATCCACCAATGAGGCGAATCAGTTGGAGGTTATATTAAAGCTGCAGGCAAATCCCCATTTAAGTGCACGGCAAATTGGAGATATTTTCGAGCAGTTTTTGTAGATTAGGTCTTGAGTAGTGATAGTTGTTTGTTTATGTTGTTGTTATAGTTGTTTTTCTCTATTACACTTGAAGCAGATTTATACTGTTCTGATTGTTATTAGTTTTTACGTCAAATCTGTACTCTTAGGCCCGTATCGTCAGTCGTTCCTACAATTGTAGGGCACGTTTATGGCCTCCTTGATTGTCATAGTTTTCTACTTCTCCGTGTCAGAACTCTATTTTGAGGTTATGTCACAAACATCTATTTGCATCAAATTGTGCTTGCTTTTGAGTTATATCATGTTTTATCAGCCTGAAATTTCCTACAATTTAAAAAGAAAACATATCTTCATAATAGGAGAGCGCTGACGCTGACACGGGACGAGTGTAATCTAGAAATTTTTGAAGGAGAGAAAAGAGTATGACAATCAAGGAGGCCATAAACGCGCCCTACAATTGTAGGGACGACTGACGATACGGGCCTTAGTGGCAATATGGAACTAGCCGACTGTTTGTCTCTTGTTTCCATGGATGATGTGATTTTTTCCTTAATTTTGGTGTGTTGTTCTATTAAAAGCTTAAAATGTAGTGATTTTATCTGAATCAAACCTTATACAAAAAAAACCTTATCAAAAATTGAATCCACACTTGCTCAAATATACAGGGTGATGCATTTTAAATGTTTGAGAAAAAGTACAATTCGCGTTTCTGACACACCCTGTATGAGCAAAAATGAAAATTCTAAAATGTAACAAATAAGATAAAAGCTGAGGTGTGTAAGTTTTTTGATATAATATTTAGCACTCCAAATTTCAAAATGGCGGACTGAGAGGTTGCCGAAGTGAGGGGTTTTTCTAGACAAAACACCTTATATCTCAGTAGCTAATTACCAAAACCTCCCAGTATGTTATATCAATCTTCTTCTTTTGAATTGGTTTATCCAAATATGCAATAAAATTTGAGGCATTCCATTTAAAAAATAACAACTTTGATATGTAGGTCAAAATTGGGACATCCTGTATAATTGCCAATGTTTCAGAAATAGATTTTCCCAAAATGTATTTGTTTATGAGTAATATTCCGTCCATACATGGATGGGCCACCCTGTATAACTGCAGTAAAGTAATAAGCCACACATTTATTTGTTAGCCTGAGCTACGTGCTCCGAGTCACACAGAACTGCTACCAGTCGGAGACAGCTAAAATAGGCAGCCTAACCGCTCAGGTAACAGTTTTAGTAAATTCAAAAGAATGGATAAACCCTAAAAAGACCACTGAGAACCGCTACTTATGATCATTTCATATCCACTGACGAAGATGTATAGATCGAAGTATTTGTAAAAGCAAAATCAAGAAGGAGGAAAAGCGACAAGACTTTCCTCCTCTTCCGAATAACAGGATCAATTACATTTCATGCCTCTCCCCCACTTCATCAAATCGAAACACCTTTGATGAAAGAGGACCCTCACACTGGTATCTGAACTAAGTCCAACTACCTTTGTTCTCTGTGTCATTAAACCATTATTTTCACCATCGAGTACTTTCCGTTTGACTCTCATCTTGGAATTCAAGTGGCTTCTAGATTTCATGTCGTAAAAATGTGAAGGATATCGTGGTTGTTCAAAAACGCCATTTAGAAAAATTTAGCGAACTGTCAAAGAAAACAACAACTTCGGACGTAGATACCTACACAACGGATGATGAGGTACCGTATTGATATTGGTCAAGCTTGATTTCTCCAAGGTTTTCAATACGCTCAGTCATGAGATTCTTTCGAGTAAGCTAAAGTATTATGGCATTTCAGAAGTTCCTTTGAATTCCTTCAGATGCTATCTAACTTAGCGCACCCAAAAGGTGAAAACATTTAGAGAAATTTCTGATGCACAGTATGTTTCATCACGAGTTCCCCAGGGTTCAGTACTGGGACCACTTTTATTGCAAGAGAGTGTAGAACATTGTTACATTCAAATGTATGCCGACGATATACAATTAACATTTCATTTTAGTGAATCCAACTTACGTGAAGCATCGTATAAGATTAACCTAGAAATGATAACGTATCACCGAATTGTAATAGGTACTGTCTCCGTATCTATGCATCAAAATGTACCGCGATACCATACTGTCCTAAATATTCGAATAACAATATCACAAATCGAGTCTCTTATTTATCAACGATACTAATATTTCATTTTTTGATAACACTAAGAATCTAGGTGTTATATTCGATTCAAATATTAGATTTAACTTGCATGTGAATAGTAGAAATCCTCATATTGTCAATTTTAGCTTACTCTCTAGTCCTCATTTACCCCAGCCTTGACTCGGTTTACAAGTCAAAATTGCAGATGCTTGAGAACTCTTGCATATTTGGTGTTAGGAAATTTTCATCAAGAATCAAGGAGTTACAGTAGCTCAGACTTGACGGTTGATTCAATTATTCCATTGCTGCTATGCATTTTTAAAACTGGTAAACCGGTTTATTAACTCAATAAGTTGATTCCACCTGGAAAGCAAATAACTGTAAATCTACGGCACAATGATTTACTTTCCAGTCCTCTACATCGTACGCCAGTCTTTGAAAGTAATATAATTCTTTACCAGCTAACTATAAGACTCTAAGTTTGCAGAGCTTCAAGAATACAGTCAAGTTGCACTTTCTGCGCTCAGCACATTGAGTAATAAATTCAGTTAGTTGTTTATAAAATGTCCATTCTATTGTTTCTATTCTTTCTATATGTTCATATTATATGTTTACTTCTATTTAATGCACTTCTTACTTCTTACAGTCATCTGATTCATGTCGTTATCCTAATGTTTTGAGATGTCTCGTTGTAGTATGGTTAAGTGGTAGAGTAGCCATGGTCAAACTTCACCAAACTATGATCATTTTCTGAATAAAGACATTACAATTATTATTATTGCTATTATTATTCACAGCCCATCACACGCAACGTTAGAATCCTTTACGAGCGAGTCCTGCAAAAACTTGTAAACTCTGTGTACACAATGATTTAAACGGCTTTCTCTTTCAAAATCACTCACCATTTTATCACGAACGCGCGTTTTACACTATCCTTATAGCACCATAGGCATACCGAAAAATACTAAACTTGATATATTTGAAGCACACAAATATATATTTTCCGCTTGTTTGGTCATATACTTTGTTAAACAACAACGCTTCGATTACGCGATATACCTTACAAAAAGTTTAGATAAAAATTGACCGTGAATAGTTCTGTTGCATGTGGTACAATAAACAATCTGCTTTTTATGTCATATAGCGTAGCTTATTCCGGAAATTCACCCTGAAAAACGAAGGTCAAAATCCAGTGCAAAGAGTCATGCTGAAGGAAAAAAATAACCTTGACCGTTCTACTTTTATATGGCATAATACGCCATCATTCTTTGTGGTTGCCGTTGCACAACAGGTGTCTGATTCTGACGCAGTTTAACTTTTATATTATAGGGGGACTGGAGAAGAACAGTCGCTGTAACCGTTATAAAATAACCCATAAATTGGTCCGTCTGATTGCTTTGAAGGCAATCGATTGCAAGCTAGTGTAGCAACTAGGCCACCTTTGGCCCTTTTTACTTCCCACGCCTAAAGGCGGGGATATACCGTAATCGCGAAAATGGTTGTGATGATTTTAATGAAATTTTTACACAAGGTTACAACTATGCCAAGGATGAAAAGGCTTTGAAGTTTTTGAAAATCGGTCTAGTGGTGGCGAAACTTCGTTTTTTTACGGTTCAGAGGCTCCTGATCCTTTACAGAATTTTTTTGTAAGGGTTGAAACTTGAGGGTAGGAAGTTCTAGGGGATATGGGGTTGTAAATAGGTATTAGTCAAAGACGTTCTATCATTAAGAAAATTCTAATCCCGGTATGGAAAACTTAAATGATAAATAAAATATAATATATACTAAGTGACATATAAATCCGAACACCCAGTTTAAATGGTTTTATTTTAATAAAATTTTGTATAAGTACTTAATGAAGCATAATAAGTAAATGATAAAAATTTCAAAATGATTGCACTGCTTTAAAGCCCTTTGACCTTTAATAATGCGTGGATGCACCCTGATGTGCTACGCATTCTCCAACGCGCCTAAGCATGCTTCTGATCAGGTGGTCAATGTCCTCCTGTGGTATCTCATTCCAGACAACCACCAACTCCTCTCGAAGTGCTTCTAGAGTCTGAGGAGGACGTTGCAAATTGAGCAATCTCCTACCCATCATATCCCACACGTGCTCAATTGGGGATAAGTCGGGAGATCTTGGTGGCCATGGTAACAATGTGACATCATTATGTTGAAAGAAGTCTATTGTGACTCTTGCAACATGTGGTTGAGCATTATCTTGTTGGAAAGTTGGATCTGCCAGGGTGTCAAGATAGGGTAAAAGATGGGGTTCTAGAACTTCGTGGATATAACGCTGCGCGTTCATGTTACCTCTGATGAAGATTAAAGGTGACCTGGAACCATAAGCTATAGCACCCCAAACCATAACTCCAACAGTGTGATGAACATGTCTTTCAACAAAAAACTGTGGATTCCTCCTTTCACCACGTTGCCTTCTAACCCTGGCACGACCATCGTGCATGCCTAAACAAAATCGAGACTCGTCACTAAAGACAATACTGTTCCATTCCTGATCCCAGAGTGACCGTTGTCTGCACCACTCAAGGCGATTACGTCGGTGTTCTCGAGTTAAAGGGAGGACCCAGTGTGGCCGGTATGAAAACAAGCCAAAACTTCTCATTCGTCGGTAAACACTTCGCATGCCAATAGGTCTTCCGTGTTCTGCAAACCATTCATTTGCAATGGACCTGGTAGTTGAGAAACGGTCCCTTAAGGCCAATAATCTTAGGCGGCGATCTTCATGGTCTGTTGTTCTACGGCGGCGTCCAGTGCCCCTTGCTCTTTGCGTACGGCCTTCTCGAAGCCATGCCTGACAACACCTAACTACAGTGTCTACACTTCTTTGCTTCCCGAAGTCCCACTATACGGCCCCTATCAAACTCACTAAGTTGACGAAATCGTACAGGTCTCCGTACTCTAGGCATCGTAACCGATCGTAAAGGATGTCAAGAACCAAAATCCGCCAACGTTGATTCTTTACTGCGGCTGAAATATTCATTTTTAGAGCGTTAGTGAATTAAAAAAAAGCAGTATAAAAACCGGAATGTCCAACTGATAAGGCTGAAAATTTGTTCACTTATTGTTTACAGTAAGATAAATACATTCACCAACTTTTATTAAAATAAAACCATTTAAACTGGGTGTTCGGATTTATATGTCACTTAGTATAAATATAAATCTCATTTTCGACATTTTTCTCGATTACAATACTTTCTGGCCAGTAGGCGTAGGAAGTAAAAGTCTGACATAAATTTAAAGCTCATTAAAGTTATCTAAAAGTTTATATTCTAAGGTTTTTTTTAGGTCGCTAATTAAAAATCTGTTACCAGAGTTTTTTTTATAATTCCAAAATGACGCGCCCAATACTGTTATGACACAAGAGTATTTGTTTTTCAGAAACCTCTTCATCGATGTTAAACGGAACTACCTTGGTTAGCCTAATTACCAAACTTTCTGAAAATGTTATAGGTGGGTCATTATGATGCAATATAACAAATAAATTTTTACATTGGATTGGTTGGTCCCTGGAGAAGTAAATGAGTTATATCTTTTCTATGGAGGCACTAATTACTAACTCATAAAAATTTCTTTGATGTCTATAAAAAATTGTTGAGAAAGAGTGATTGGTTAGAAAAGAAGAAGTACAGCTCTAACTGATTTGTTGCCAGGTTAATAAAGACATTTTATTATTATTTTCAATAGCGCCTTTAGGGAGGCTGTATCTACACAGAGGAACCCCGAAGGATACTGTTTTATGGGAACTTTTGGTATTATTTTTTGTGTATTATATGTATACCAAAGATTGATATGTTATTCTAGGATATGGTCCCCAGTCTAGTTAGATTATAGACCTGTTCATTGTACTGAAACCCTAAGGGTAGGCTGTATCGCATAGATAAGTATTTAATTTTCTTTGATTTCTATAAAAAATTGTTGAGAAAGAGCGATTGGTTAGAAAATAAGAAGTACAGCTCTAGCTGATTTCTTGCCAGGTTAATAAAGGCATTTTATTATTACTATTTCCAGTGGCGCCTTTAGGAAGGCCGTATCTACACAGAGGAACCCCGAAGGATACTCTTTTATGGGAACTTTTGGTATTATTTTTTGTATTTTATATGTATACCAGAGACTGATATGTTATTCTAGGATATTGTCCCCAGTCTAGTTAGATTATAGACCTGAAACCCTAAGGGTCTGTATCGCATAGATAAGTATTTAATTTTCTTTGATTTCTATAAAAAAATGTTGAGAAAGAGCGATTGGTTAGAAAATAAGAAGTACAGCTCTAGCTGATTTCTTGCCAGGTTAATAAAGGCATTTTATTATTACTATTTCCAGTGGCGCCTTTAGGAAGGCTGTATCTACACAGAGGAACCCCGAAGGATACTCTTTTATGGGAACTTTTGGTATTATTTTTTGTGTTTTATATGTATACCAGAGATTGATATGTTATTCTAGGATATGGTCCCCAGTCTAGTTAGATTATAGACCTGTTCATTGTACTGAAACCCTAAGGGTAGGCTGTATCGCATAGCTAAGAATTTAATTTTTAAAGCCCCACACAGAATATTGCACGATTTAGTTCAATAACACAAGAGAAATGAATGCTTGCAATTCAAATTTTTTCTAACCTGAAATTTGACCAATCAGCGTCGCGAGTACCCATCACCGTAGAATGACAGGTGATTATCTAGTAATATCTCAAAATTCCCCATATCGGCACGGGGCACATAATTCTGACGGATTAGTCAATGCCAGGTGGACAGAGCCGTATAAAGGCTTTTATAGTGTTTGAGGCATTCAAATTGATTTTTGCTACTTGTTAACTGTTTTGATTAGGCTAAAACGCCCTTCCCTCACCGAAATCGCTTATAAATTTAGCAGCATTTATTCTATTAGATATTATTTTTGTGTTTACCTTAAACAGAAAATCCATTTTAGAATACACTATTGGATCGATTGTTCTGGCAAGACTGATATCGAATCAAGTTGAATAGATTCACACCAAAAAACTCAAAACACAGCATTTAGATAGATATTATGTGGAATTTTATTATAATTCTTCAAGGTAGATGCAGCTATTGTTTCTAAGTCATATTTAAACAAGTAAATGTTTTCAATAACTCTGGAAACATTATTATTTAAACAAGGATTCTCTAATATTTACTTTTTAGTTGAAGAGCCGGCAGGATGATTTCTCGGTAAAGCTAAGATACCCATTAATCTTGCACCTTATAGTTCCCAGACACAATACTCTAATCCGATTTGCGCTGGCCCAAGAGGTGGTTTAAGCCTTGTTTGACCACTGCTTTTGTAAGGGTGTCAAAGAATCCACACTAATAACACTGTTCAACACGAAAATCCTCCGTATGTGTTATATTTCATTTGGACTTACACTAATATACAACTGACTCCTAAATATTTAGATTAGCCTCGGATTTCTTGGAAGGGTCGAGTAGGCAGGTAATAAACAGGCGCCTGCAGCAGTGGGATCTCTTGGAAAAAGGAGTTAAGGTGTCCATCTACCTGAAAAGGCAATCTACTCTCACATTTTTTGCATTGGAAGGTGATTTCGTATTTTTCCATGACATACCTGGCCTAATGACCGAACTAAACTTACCATACACGCTCGATAAATGGAGACTATTTTTAAAAAAAGTCCAAAAGCGGTTTTACTTTTTAATGTGAATGAGCATCCATCGGCTCCTATATAGGTAATTCGGTAAATATGAAAGAAACATATGACAATCTTAAGATGTTACTCAGATGTATAAAGTACGAAGATCACAAATGGATTATATAGATATACATAATACTGTTGCTTTTTGTGTGAGTGGGACAGCCGAGCAAGTGACAAACATTATAAAATTGTTTGGCCTACACGTGAAACAATAGAAGCTGGCATTAAAATTATATATATATATATAGAAAAATAATGGGCAAAATCGGCAAAAAGGAGGAAAGTGGATTCGAGCAGAAAATAGGATAGGTAACCCGAGCGATACGTATTTCTGCTGGTTGGCTTCATCAGGCCCGAAATGAATGCACATATGAAACTACAAAAGTAGACACACATGCCCACACTTCCGGATACGGGTGTAACCTGAGGAAACGAAGATGGAGAG